AGTTCATTAATTTCAATTTCTACCCCAATTTTATTACAAAACTCTCTCCAATAATTTTTCTTTGCTCTTCTAATTTCTCTCCTCACCATTGCCTGAGCTCTTTTATAATTAATAAAATCAGTGAACACTAGCGATTTTCTTGCTTTCCTAAGGGCTTTATTTCTGTTACAAACTAATTCACTACATTTTTCATTCCACCATGGGACCGCTTTGCCACACTGACTGACCTCAGTTTAAACCATAGACCAGTGGTTCCCAACCACATTCCTGGAGGCCCCCCAACACTGCATGTTTTCCATGTCTCCTTAATCAAACACACCTGATTCAGATCATCAGCTCATTAGTAGAGACTCCAAGACCTGAAATGGGTGTGTCAGACAAAGGAGAGATACAAAATATGCAGTGTTGGGGGTCCTCCAGGAACGTGGTTGGGAACCACTGCCATAGACTGTATAAAAACAGGTTTAAACTGATGAAAAAACGCACCCGAGCTTTAGCCACTCAGAACACTCGCTCGATGCGGCGGGCGGAGCTTCAAAGAACAACGGTGCAACGTGACGCGGAAGTCACATTGACAGTGTGTTTACAGTTATTAAAGGGGTCATATGATGCTAAAAAGAACATTATTTTGTGTATTTGATGTAACGAAATGTGTTTATGCAGTTTAAAGTTAAAAAAACACATTATTTTCCACATACTGTACATTATTGTTTCTCCTCTATGCCCCGCCTTTTTGAAACGCATAGATTTTTACAAAGCTCATCGGTCTGAAAAAGCGAGGTGTGCTGTGATTAGCCAGCTATCCAGTGCGTTGTGATTGGCCGAATACCTCAAGCGTGTGACGGAAATGTTACGCCCCTCACCATATTGTGATGCCTTGTCCCGGCCGGAGCGACGATCTTTGGATTTGAGACTTTAGTCTTTGCAACTTTACAGATCTTCTTTATGCACCAAGAGCTTGTAACTCTCCAAAGAGAAAGGAAAAATTGAAATCGCATCATATGACCCCTTTAAAGCACCAATAATGGCAAAGCATTGTTTGACTACAAAAATACGTAATTTATTAATGTCAAATTAGGGCGACAAACAACTGCTCATTGTATGGTATTCTAATTTTCAGTGGAAGGTCTTTAATAGGCTACAACACGTGACAATGCTAGGTTTCTGACAGCACTGAGAAATGTCCAGAAACTGGATCTATTTTCCTCTTAGCAATACAACGTTGTCAGTTGGACAGCTTTGTAGAGATGAATTAGTCATTCAGCCATGATTACCACATTAAATGCTCAACTTTCTTAATAGAATATGGAACACAGTTGACTTTTTAATTTTTCAGTGAACAATCCCAGATATGGGTACTTGAGAACTAACTATTCCAAAAATTATATATATATTATATTATATATATATCTTTTTTTTTTTTGCTGTACTTGTTGGCCATATCTCAAATAGGGTCAAATTCATGCTCATTTACATATACCAATTGTTTTCTTAAACAATATTTCAACTAAAAGTTTGCAATTATGACAAAATGATGTGGGGTCTGTTACATTGGATATAATTAAAAAAATGCATATATAAGTGCAGACAGGTACAATATAAAAATTGTACTTTTTAATATAGCAGCTTCATTTTGTTTTAATAAAAAAAACCCCTCTAAAAGTTCACTTTCTGAACAAAAACACTATTGTGTTGACATGTTTTTAATAGAGTTTAACTAAAATCTTAAAACTTAAATGAATCTAGAACCATACTAACAACATTTCATCAGAATTACAGTTTATTGTATTCAATGTCTGTTTACAGCTGAAGATCTCCATTTTTGAAAATTCAAACATTGAAATATCTGATGCTTGACAATTATAAAATGTAAACGTTGAGAGTACATTTAGCAAACTCTGAAACAACAAAACTCATCAACATGAACTTTCTTTCTAATAAATTCCATCTAATAACTACATTTGTTATGAACGTATGTTGAGGTGTTCTTGTGTCATTGTTTGGGTTACCAGTATTCAGACTGAGAGAGGTACAGTTGATGTTTGATGATTTCCCAAAATATAGGTTATAGAGTATTTTGAATCCATAATAATCTGGCCATCACTTATGTGACATTTTTTGGATGTGTATCTGTCTTACTCCTTGTGGTAACAGTATTGTTTCCTAGACCAAAAAATTAAAAAAACAACAACACTGGGTAATGGCCATTACAATTAAAGATCTACTCTTATTTGAATGTGTCACTTAAAAGTTGAGGGATTTGACTCTAAAATGCAGGCCGGCAGATAAAAAAAAAAAAATGCAAAAAAGATTTCCTTTTAAGGGATAGTTCACCCAAAAATGAAATTTGATGTTTATCTGCTTACCCCCAGGGCATCCAGAGGTGAATCAGAGGTAAAAAAACGATATAAATACTGTTCAGTTTCTTGCACAGACCAATCGTTTCTTGTCTTTACACATCAATGTATCGTCACGAGCCGCAGGGTTTAATTTGGTTTTGTTTGTGTATGTTTTTTTGACTCTCAAAGCCGTAATTCCCATTCACTTACATTATAAGACTGACAGACTGCAACGGTTTGAGTTAAAAATCTTCGTTTGTGTTCTACCGAAGAAACATAGTCACCTACATCTTGGATGCCCTGGGGGTAAGCAGATAAACATCCAATTTTCATTTTTGGGTGAACTATCCCTTTAAGATATGCATTGACGAAAAATGTGCCGTTTTTTACAGTTACAAGCAAAAAGGGTCTGGATATCATGGCTAATACATTATAAAGTCAAATATATCAAAAAGTTGATATATATATGCCCTGTTCTACCTCACAGCCGGTAGATCCATGAGAAAAGTGACAAACTGGCAAGGCTTGCAAACAATTTTTAGCTGATAAATGAGTTTTTGAGGTAGAGATTCTGGCAGTAATGACTTTTAAGTGTGTTATAATGAGGTGTCCTTATATAAACAGAAAAAAAACCTATAATATTGTACAATACAGACAGAAACGGTAACATTTTCTAGACTGTACAGCAACTGTGGTCCTGGTAAGGGTTATATGCAGTGCTTCAAGAGTGAGCATTAACAGTTGGTAGCTTGATGGTTAAGGATCTCGGCTGCAAAAGCAAAGGCTACAAGTTTGGGATCAAGGCATTTAACTTCAAGTTACTCAAGTTGTACCTGCCAGCTGTTTTGGATTTAAAAAAAAGGCTTTAAATTTAAAGAAACCCCATTTCCATAAATCCTGGAGCATCTCTCGCCTATGAAACACCAAATAATCATTCAACTTCACATGAGCAAAGATGGTAGTTGCTAGAAGACCCTGATTGTGTCAAAATGATTCACTCCTAGATGCCCACCAAGTGGGTATTTGACCTTGCATACAGAGTAATGCTAGAAGAGCTTGGCATACTTCATAAACTGTAGCTACATGCTGATAAAAGACATTCTTACTGACCAGAACAGTTGATGAGATGATTAAAAAACAACCTTTAAGGGTGTGATCTATTATCTCTATACACAGGAAACCACATCCTTCAAATCCCTTCAGAAAAGAACATTTAATTTTTCTCAAGACACTTTCAAAACTTCCCATCGTAATTTCCTCTGGATTGCGCTGTTGGATTTTGTGTTAAAAAATACAGATACAGAGCACAATACATAACCAGAAACTGCCCTGTTTGATGAAGCAAGGGCTGCATCGTTGGACCCCTCAAAACTGCATTATATTAAGCTAGAACGCCTGATGAAGTGACAAACTAAAGATCTTCAGTTAGTGAGGAAATTAAACACAAGATGATTTGTTTGTTCAAACCTTAAAAATAAACCTATTATACTGTCATGCTTTGAGTCAAAATGTAATTATTTTCAGCCAAACTGCTGATCTGAGAGAAAGCTCGGCAAAAATTCTACACAAACGCAAGTAAAACAACCTCTGAACTCTTTCCACATAGCATAAATATGGGCCAAATAAATGGGTCCAGGTACATTCGGACTTAATACCTGCAATACCTCAGCAACCTTTGCGAGGCTCATGGAGAACGTGGCCTCCAGAGTTTGCCAGCAGTCGTGAAGATGCAAACATTAAATAAACAAGAAACATGAAAACAGGGTATGAATGCAAGTATATATATCTACAAATGCATGCCTATATCAGCTCCATAAAGGGACAGTTCTCCCAAAATTAAACTTCCGTCATTTACTCATCCTCAAGTTGTTCTAAACCATTATGAATTTCTTTCTTCTGATGAACACAAAAGAAGATATTTAGAGGAATGTTGTTGGTCCACATTGACTTTCATAACTTTCAGAAAAGTCAATGGTGACCAGAAACTGTTACGGTTACATTCTTCAAAATTGTTCTTCTGTTCAGCAGAAGAAAGAAACTCATACAGGTTTGAAACATCTTAATGTTGAGTAAATGATGACAGAGTTTTTATTTTTGGGTGAACTATCCCTTTAAAATGAATCTTCATTGACTGATATTAAGCTCTGAGAACAGCTGAACACTTGCAACAAAAAACAGCAAAACCTCCGACAATTACGCACTTTGTATCATGTTCATTCTGAAGTTCAGACGTTCGCCTGTCAACAGCGCATTCAAACTGTGCTAAGGAAAAACCTTCACAAGGCACTGCAGGATACATATACAGAGAAAATAAAATCTACAACAATATATTATTAGTTCAGACCCTCAAGCTGTTTGCATCACACGTTATAACAATAATACTATTGTTATGGGTTTGCCTATTAATGAAAAGCTTTTGTCAGTCAGAGATTATAAAACCCTAAAAAGCAGAATCCTACAGCCTTGTTAACGCCAGACAGTGTGCTCACAGAAAGAGAAATAAATTATTCACAGGTTTTGCATATACATTATATCATTATCTTTATAATAAACTCTGCTGTTATTTTAGATTTCTTTTGACTCCTGAACAAAGGAGAGTGTAAATAAAATACCTGAGCTAGTGTACTTCAAGTTGAGAACGATTCAGTTATTCCTGCACTGTTTTTTTTTGGCATATCTTCTGTAGTAACTGAGGTTTTTTGGCTTTGGTTTTGCAGTGACGGAGAGAGTCTGAGGTGCTAAGGCGACTGGTTGTTGGAGGATGAGGTAGGTGTGTGGTGAACAGATTGAGGCCCGCTGTTGCCTGCGGAAGATTTGTTGGATGCCCCTGATGAGGTCGGTGCTGCGGCCTGGGCGAAGAGAACACCTATTATGAGAAAACAGGAAGATTAGTCACAGTCAAAACAAGGAGAACTTGAATACAAAGAATCTACGTGGTGATGGCTCCTCACCGGTGTAGACGACTCCATTGAGCTCCAACGACATGCTGATGCTGTTTAGGCCATTGGTGGTCAGGTTCAAGGCTGAGTCTTGCCTGCTCTCTGATAGACAGAAAAAAAAAAAAAGTTTACGTTACAAAAAGTAATAGCACACCTCTCCTCAAAGCAGCACGAGGTATTATTCACTTACAATGATCAGCCACAAAATTAAAACCACCTGTCCATAGGGCTGCACAATAATGGTTAAACGGTTAATCGCGATTATTTTGCTTTTTCCGTAATGTACAGAGAGCGTGTGCTCATGGTTGCCAGGTTGGGAAGATTAAGAGGTCGTTTACACGAAACAGTTTACAACTTTTGGGCATTTAAATCACGACAATGGCTTTGGGAGCATGTAAACACTAACCTTTGAAAACAGATTTCAAAGTTCAAGTTTTATGTTACCATTATCATCTCTTTTTAAACTATAAAAACACGAATTTATGAAACTGGTGACGTCATAGACGTGCATATTACGTGTTCAGTCTATAGGCATCCACAAGTTTCTTCACAAAGTCATATCACCAACTACGTCTTTAGTCATTTTCGTGGATCCGTGTGTGAACTGGGATCATTTTGACAATGGAAATACTTTTACGCAAATACGCAAAGGAAATACTTTAATGAATGAGACCCTTTTACGAATGAGTGGCCAGAGATGCAAGCAGACGGGTCCAGTAACTGTTTGGTTACCCACATTCTTCAAAATATCTTCTTTTATGTTCAGCAGAAGAATGAATCTCATAAAGGTTTGAAACAACTTGAAGGTGAATAAATGATGACAGAAGTTTCATTTTTTGGCTGAGCTATCCCTTTAAATGCCAACATTTAATACATAGGGTATATGGGTTTGTACAAATTACTAACCCAAAGTATGAGAATTATTAATAATGGTGCTCACAAAGCTACTAACAATATTCTGTGGGCTGTATAATTCCAGCAGGGGGCACTGCCTTAGCTATTTCCCAGTTGATAGATAGAAGCAAGCTAAAAAAATGAAAAGAGTTCATGTGCAGTGGCAGGGGGAATTTATTCAGTCCCTTATTCATCTTCCGATAAAATACACAAGGTGAAACCTCTAGTATTTAACACCTCTAACCAAGAAAAGGAAGACATGCTGTGTTGAGGCAGGGATTTCCCACACGGCAGAAATATTCGCCTTGTATTTTGTCGTTGAGGTCAACACCTCCAGTCTACTAATGAATCAGACCCTTCATGCCACCATTCTTTAAAGTAAATACATCAATGCAACTATACAGTTCTGATAAGATCTAATCGGAGCACTTCTAAACACCTTTTGTTTCCTCATTCATTAGAATAGTATTTAGTAAGAACAGTTCTAGAGTTACTACTGTGGGATAATGAGAGCTGTAATGACTCATCCTAGAGAAGGCAGCTGACATCTCCACCTGACAACCACCAATCTGTAAAGTGCATTTACCACATGCCAGTAACTTAGTCTGACTGTGGTAGTATTTTCACACCCTTTCCTACAAAATAGCTGGTTCCAGTGAATGATGATGTAAGAGGGGCTTTGCAGCACTGTACTAGAAAACACACTGAGTTCATTTCATTCCACACACAGGTTTCCCTGAAACATCAACAATTTTATAAAAAGGTGTTTATGGGAAAGGATAAAACCACAGTAAAAATGTAAATTAAATCAACTCTTTGTAGTCTAACTGTGCTTGTAATGATTGTACAACGTGTTTCAACATACGTTTATGAATAAACATGACTGTACAACATACATACACAATTTCGGTTCCAAGTTTTTTTAGTTTTTTTAAATGGTAATTTTTAAAGGGGTCATATGATGCTTTTTTAAAGATCATTATTTTGTGTATTTGGTGTAACAGAATATGTTGACATGCTTTAATGTTCAAAAAACACATTATTTTTCAAATACTGTACATTATTGTAGGTCCTCTATGCCCCGCCTCTCTCAAACGCTTCGTTTTCTACAGTCCCTCCTTCCAACAAGCGCAGTCTGCAAAGGAAAACTTGAAATCGCATCATATGACCCCTTTAAAACTGTATCTTAAGATCTAGCTTGCTAGCTTTTTTTGAATACATGAACACGTCTTATGTAAACACCACCTGAGAAAACGTTCATCAGAGTCCAATGAACCAGAAACCAGTCTAATATTTTGGCTTTCTTAAAGAGAAAATTTCATCCAAAAATAAAAATTCTCAATCCAGCGCTTAAGGATCTATCCAAACAATCCAAACCCATAAGAATTTCATTTAATCTTTGAGACACAAATGAAGATTTAGAAACCTAAGAGATTTCTGTCCCTCCATTGTAAGTCTGTTCCACCTAAACTCTGACACTTCAAAAAGTCCATAAAGAGATATATTTTAAATACTATGTATTCAAATTATTATTATTATTATTTAATTTAAAAAGCATGTCATTGAATGCCAAATAACAGATTTGATTTAACTAGACAGTTTGAATATAATCCTTGTCAGTTTTTCAGGCCTTGTGAAAAAAGCCTTGCGAATAGAAACGTACACTGGGGGACTGTACCGCCCCTGTTGAGAAATACTGGTATAGTCGGTTTTAAAATGTGATTGCACATCCCTACTATTGCCAGGGTAGACATATTTAGTCCATCTGTAGGCCAGAATGTTAAAGTGTCAGTCAGTACCTTGGTTGTTGATGCGGATGTTCATGGGGATCTGTGCTGTCATAGCCAGCAGGTTGTGCTGAAGGGCTCTCTGCAGTAGCCGCTGGTGTTCCTCCAGTGGTAGTGCAATCTTTTTCTCTGGGGGCTCGCCGGACTCCAGCTTGTGCCGCAGCTGCTCCAGTGCAGCTACCTGTGTGATGGTGGCCGCCTGTGCAGCCGCAGCCTGGGCCGCAGCTACCGAATGAGTGGCCAGAGACGCAGGCAGACGAGTCTGAACCCCGTCATCCTCTACAACAGAGAAAGGAATCGAAGGAAACACATTTGAAATTAAGCAAACCATATGGCAACATCTGAGTCGTTTTTCTAAGATGTCACTAAAAGATGTAACCACAGTGCTGGGTAGATTACTTATAATTTGTAATCCGTTACTGATTACAAATTACATGACAAAAACTAGTTAATGTAATCTATTATAATCGTCATTATAATCTTAGATTACTCAATTTAGGTAATGTATTCAGACTACTTTCTGATTACTTTTAGATAACTTTTTACCTAAAAAAAAAGAGAAGAAAATATATTCCATTCTCTGTTGTCAACAAGAAGAAATGCAAATGCATAACTTTACATTATGTCAGGGTTTCCCAAACTAGGGTTAATGAGTTGATGAAAAGCTAATGATTAATTAAATACTAAACATATACATTTAAAATAATACATTTTATGAAAATGAAAACTGTAAAAATAAAACAAATGAACACACAAAAAAATAGAAATATTTTATTTGTTGACCTGCATGTCAATGTGGCCATTAACTGACATCAGAGAACCGTGAACATGCACATGTGTTGTTAAATTATTGAAACATGAACTTAAAATCTCATGGGTCTTTAATTAAATATTTTATATTAAAAGAGTTTGGCTGACAAAAACGTTTGGGAATCGCTGCATTAATAAACATGAAAACAGCAATGACATTACACATCCAAAGATGCCCAGGTTTGGAATATTTTTGTCCAGATCAATAATTAAGAAAAAGTCATATGAAAGCATATAATGAAGAACTATACATCTCTATATTTTGTCAGTGACTGAGAGGTGCTTTTGTCCCCAAACTCAGAAGTATGGATTACAAATTTACTTACATGACATTTACACGGCCATTCTATATGAATATAGTCAAAGCTAAACAGTATGACACACAGTACGATTTTTTCGAATGCAATATAATCTAATTACCAGTACTTTATTTTTGGAATCTGGATTACATGTAATCAGTTACTACTCATCATTATGTAACCATGACCCACTGCATTATATTTGGTGTGTCTGAAAGCAGGTTTTACCTTTCTTAATTTTCTGTAAGGATGAGACTAAGGCTCCATTGCTGGGCAGGGCGATGCCCATGGGTGGCATGGAGAGTTTGGGTGATGAGAGCATTGTGGGTGTCCCGTTGGGCGAGTAGGTGAAGAGCGAGCTACCGAAGCCCTGCCTGCGTCCCTCTCGCCGGTTACTGTCGATGGCTGCCTGCAGCTCATTGGGGTTGCTGAGACCCCTCTTCTCACATTCGTAAGGATACAGATACTTCATATATCTGCAGGGCGAAATTAAAGGGGTCATGCAATGGAGAATCAAAATATTTTTGAGATTTACACATATAAGTGGTTACTTTACAATAAAAACATACCGCAAGTTTCAGAACTCAAAACTAATTCCCCAGTTTAAAATATGAATTATCCTTTTCTACCCTTCTGAAACTCCAGGATTTCATATGCTATCAAAGAGGAGTGTTCTGAACAGCTCATGTCTGTCCATCAATCACAAGAGCCATACTACTTCATGTAAAGAAATGGTGCAGAAAACATTAGTGCTGTCAAACGATTAATCGCATCCAAAACAAAAGTTTTGTTTACATAATATATGTGTGTACTACTGTGTATATTTATTATGTATATATAAATACACACACGTATGTATATATTTAAGAAAAATATGTTGTGTTTATATATCAAATATTAATATTTATATATAATATATTTGAATATAAATATATATATATACATACACATATAAATATATATATTTTTAAATATATACATGTATGTTTGTGTATTTATTACATACATAATAAATATAGATCTTACACACATATAAAAAAAAACTTTTATTTTGGGTGCGATTAATCGCGATTAATCGTTTGACAGCACTAAAAACCATTGCAATCAAAACTAAATTTGAGAAATGTAATGTAAAAATCTGAAACTGCATGTCATGATCATATAAAATGTTGTAAATGTGGTTTACTGCGGTTTATGCATTAGTCAATCAAGCCAATGACTAAACCATCAACTTCACACCGTTCCTATTAGTAGCGTGAAAACCATCTGGTATTTATAATGTGATTATTTTATATACAAAAAGCGATCAAAACGCTGGAGCAGTCAATTCAAGATAAACGTGAGTCTATCAGTGATGCGATTCAGTATTTTCGCCAAAACTCCCATTAAAATCAGAGACACAGTTTACACTGCTCAACAAGTATGTTATTTACATCGTGTTTTCACTGTTAGATATTATGAACGCATTTGTGAGATTGCAGAAATCGCATTGCAATGAGATCCTTGCATCTTGTGCTCAGTAGACATGACTGTGTTTGGCTGCAGTGCAGCGGTGCAACCTGATGCAACGGGATTCGTTCTAAATATAGTGCTTTAATCAACACTTCTCACTATCTGGTAATCTAGGCGGCTGGTGGTAAAAACACAGTGAAAGTTTTTGAGAGAGTTCCAGGTGTAATGCTCATTTCATATGCAAAGATGTTAGCCAATCATAGCAGTGGGCGTTTCCATTCTACACGTGCAAGTAAACATAATTTCTCCTGTGAAGGTGTCGGTGAGTACGTACTGTGTTCTGAGAGTGAAGGCAGCACTGGTGATGGAGGTCGGCAAGTTCAGGCCCTTCGTGATCTCCCTCCACAACTTTTTATTTATGACCTCCACCAGCCCCCCCTTCTCTGTCACCAGCTGGTACAGCATGTAGAGGTCCAGCACCTGCTTGGCCATGATGGGAATCCTGTTCACTGGAGTCCCTGCACGAAAACAAACAGCTGCGCTGAGCGACTTAGCAGCTTGAATGTATTGTCTACAAATGAAAGTAACTCCCATTTTAGTCTTCATTTGGGAAGACTGCAGAGTTTCTACTTTTCCCTAGGCAACAGATTGTTGTGCACACGCATTTGTGCTACAAATAAACAACAAAAGAAGTAGTAATAATAAATAGTACTATAGTAATAAGTACATTTTTTTTTATTTAAATAAACTTATTTAATTAATTACATTTAATTTCAGCGTTTCTGCTCTTCTCTAGGCAGCAGATTATCGTGCACATGCATTTGTGCCATAAATAAACCTAGCTAATAAAATTTCTCTCCCAGGTCATTAATTTATTCATCAGAAGAGGGTTTAACATGTGCTGGAGAACATTTTCCACAGCAGGTTTAATAGGAACACATGCTTCGACAGTTTCAAGGCCGGATCATGGACATGTGCAACAGCCCTGCTTCAGCATGATATGAAGGGAGAAAACTGCAGTGCTTCGATATAAATGCATATAAATGTCACTATGGTGGAGATTTGAAAGATGAGCTGGGTGTTGATGAGAGCGCATTAGGAGAAGAGTTTGGAAAGGTCTGGGTCATAAAGGTCTCTATAAGATGACATATGGAGATGTTTTTGATGCGTAAAAGTGATTTTCTTTGCACATACCTCTCTTCTGCATAAAGCTGAACAGATTGTCCAGGAACTCCTTCCTCTTTGGGTCACTGTCCAGTTCATAGAGCTGCACATGAAAAACACACAGACAGACAAACAAGGTTATGAAGAGCAGTGTGTGAAACTGTGCTCTCATCACTCTTGATGTCCTGGATCAGAAATTGCATTCACTGTATTGTGAAAAAGTCATGGCTAAACAGAACTGTTAGCTGGCAGGTGCTAGCTAAAAAAATAAATAAAGGACACCTATAAAAACATTATTTTACAATAAAAATAAAGTGTCATTATTTCGTTAGAAGATATAGTTCCTGACATTAAGGTGTAATTAAGGTGTAAAAAAGGGGTGATTTGCAGGTTTTACACATCACAGCTGTTATCAAGGCCATGTTTGGTACAGCATGCTAACATAATACTTACTACTATGACCTGCTATATTTGCCAAAATAAGCAGTATACAAAGCACATTGCGCAGAGTAGAATACACCAAAATGCAACACTCAAGACCGTTCTTTACAGAACTACCAAATTTTGCTATAAGTTTGATTGCATCATATAATAATTGCTGTTAATGGTGTTCATCGTCTGTTTGATTACGTCTTTAAATGATTTTTCCGTACATTTCTGCCATATGTGCATAAACTGACAGTCACCACTGATAAGCTACTACTAAATATTGTAGAAGCTAAATTTTCGGTGAAGTTGCTTTGCAACGATTTGTATCGTAAAAAGTGCTATACAAATAAACTTTAATTTAATTTAATTGAATTTCTTTCCCACTACAATTAAATTATTATTATTAATAATGAATAATAATAACAAATTAATTAATTAAATGATATATACATGTTTTTAATTTATATCATAATTTATTATATTTCAATTATAAATGTTAAATTATGAATGATAAATTATATAATAATAATAAAAAAAGATTGTATTTATTAATATATAAATTAATATTATTGTTTATTGTTGATATATATATAATTAAAATATACAATTATTGTATATATGACTATCATAAATCATTAAATAATAATAATAATAAATGTATATTTAATGATATCAAATTATTATTATTATTCATTTTAATTTTACATTTTTCCTTCTTGTGAAGTTTTTTCAGGTACATTTTATGTATGAAAGGTACTATATAAATAAATCTTTCAATAAATCTTTAATAAATAAATCATTATTTATTATTATTTTCAAAATGATGTCCACAAAATGCAAACGAACCAAAATGGGAACTTGCTGAATTAAACACGCAACATGATGAGCTGATAAAATATAGCGAGCTCAAGTGATAACAATACAGCACACTATACTTTGGAACATTTATCACTGCATAATGCATTATTTCACATGCTATAAAAAATAGGCAGCAAGTAATCAGCAAGCTAGTTCCTAGTATTCCTGAGGACCAGAACTGTTAGTTTTATGATGATTCATAAATTAATACATTAAAAAATATAATGTGAAATGGTATCTTAATCAAATCTTTAGTTTTAATTAAAGCAATATTTCTAACAAATGCGTGAATGTCTGAAGGATCTTAATGAAAACAGAAGTCTCACGTGCCAAAAAGGTCAGGCTATTTAAAAAAAAACAGTGCTGGTAGCTGAGCAAAAAACAAACAAACAAGTCGTGGCCTAATGGTTAGAGAGTCGGTCTCGTAACCCAAAGGTTGAGGGTTCGAGTCTCGTACCGGCAGGGATTGTAGGTGGGGGGAGTGAATGTACAGCGCTCTCTCCCACCTTCAATACCACGACTGAGGTGCCCTTGAGCAAGGCACCGAACCCCCAACTGCTCCCCGGGTGCCGCAGCATAAATGGCTGCCCACTGCTCCGGGTGTGTGTTCACGGTGTGTGTGTGTTCACTGCTGTGTGTGCACTTTGGATGGGTTAAATGCAGAGCACTAATTCCAAGTATAGGTCACCATACTTGGCCACATGTCACATCACTTTAAAAAAAAACACTAGCTGTATTGCACTTTTATTTTAGCAGAATATCTCAACAGAGATCACTAAACTCCAATTTACATGTTTGCCCGTGTTTTTAGCTCATCAGCATTTTTTCCATAATGTACAGAGTAGGGCTGTCAAAAAAATTCGAATTTTGAATATTCGTCGAATTTAAAATAAAAATCCACATTCGAATGCAAAAACGTTGCAGCGGCATGTGGTTGCCAGGTTTGGAAGATTGAGTAAACAACTTGGCAGAAAATGTATCAATAAAGCTCTGATTATAGGATTTAAACTCTTGAAATATGGCAACCGCAAAGCTTGTGAAGGCTTGTTGCCAATACAAGATAACACAAATACCAATTAAAAATGAAATGTTTTCAGGATAAATAACCAGCGAGCAAATATCGCAGATGATTATGCTTAAATTGTGAGAAGCAGAAATCGTGAATACAATTAAAATTTGATTCATCATGTGGGCTACATATAAGGACAAACATATAAAAAAAAATCAGCAGGTAAAGAGGAACCAGTCATTAAGTTTACAACTTTCTGTTTGAAATCTCCCCCTCAGGGGCCTTTAGCTTTCACCGATGGAGAGCTATAGATCATTTTGCCCCCAAATTCTGCTGATACACCCTAAGCCCCCTCCCTCATGCTGTGGAAACACATCTGTTTATCTGTTTGAAGCGGGTAGAGGCAGAGCTGTCTGACATTACCTCAAATACAGGGTGGAGAAATGTACCAGAAAAGAGTCGGCTGGATGTGAATGTTTAACTTCAAATGATTTCAGACCTTAAATGTGGTGTAAAAAATTTGGTGGTAAATTGCTGGTAAATTTAACGGGAAGTACTCACCAACATCACAGCAAAACAAAGATAAACATAATAAACATACGGGAGAATATAAACAAGCATTTGCATCCTTATTTGCATTCAGGAATGTTTCCCAAGAAATGGGCTACAAAAATAATTACACAAACACATGTAACATACCTAACCTAATTGTGATTTCTGTTTCTCTCCTCTTATTAAGCATAATCGTCTGCGATATTTGCCCACTGATTATTTATCGATGCTTATTATAATTTGGCTTTTGCGTTATCTTGCATTGGTAACAGGCCTTCATAAGCTTTCATGGTTGGGTTTGCCAGATGTCAAGAGTCCCTCAATCAGAGCTTTTTTCATAAATCGATACATTTTCTGCTCAGCGGTTTACCTAATCCCAACCTGGCAACCATGAAATGTAAAAAAAATAAAAAATTATAAAATGACAAAAATCAAGATTAAGAGTAATGTTTTAAGCAAACTAATCATGATTAACAGTTTAACCATTATCGTGCAGCCCTAGTTACAAGTAACAAAATAAAGGTGTGTAATGCTTTTATGGGTCAGTTTTACATCTCAAATGGTTTTCAGAAGTGAGCGAGTGAATGAATGCTGAATTGGATACCTCGGACTGACATCGAGAAGGTCTGACATTGTTTCGATGACACGAGAGCTGTTATTCTCGAAACGACGCAGCAACATTTCACACCTGCCAATCACCTCAAGAGGCAGGCAAAATGACAAAAGGGGGGAAGGGCCGGAAATGAGCGAGGCCCAAATGGGGGAAGGGTAACTATGAAAGCACATAAGAACAGTATCGATCTCATAGAGGCGCCTGTTCTCAGATGCCTCAATCTGACTTCAATTGAATGGTGGTGTTGCATTGAGGGCAAAGGAGAATGTGGTTTCTGAGAAGAAACTAAAGGGTCACAACGTCCCTAGCTAAAGCACGCCTTCACCAGAAACACCTGCAGGGAATGAGAAATTGATTTCAGAAACTTGAAACTCTGAATTCTGGCTATATTATTCAAATTACTTATTAATTTAACCCATACTGAAATCTGTGTGGGCCGTGAGTCAGTCCAAAGTTTCGAATACAATCAATAGATATATTTTTATATATAATATATAATAGATTATTTTGCTCCAAAAAGATCTGACTGGGGGATTTAAACTCTTGATATCTGGCAACCTCAAACATGACAGCTTACGGAGCCTCGTTACCAATGTAAGACAATGTTTTCAGGATACAAGTGGGCAAATATTGCAGACGATTATGCTTAAATCACGAGGATAAAAAAAAAAACATGATCACAATTAAAATACAGTTTTTAATAAAAAAAAAAAAACACTTTGTGATGGAAAACATCACTATCGACTTTTGCCTATGAAACTGCCTATTAGATTTTTTTAAAGTCAAATGCGTGAAAAATCTCCATAGACTTACATGTAAGGCGACTAATGAACACATTAAAAATGTAACAAAATATATATTTTTTGGTCCTATGGTTTTAACTAAAGCAATATTTCTGACAAACATATGAATGGCTGAAGGATCTTAACAACAGAAACCACATTTTCCAACCATTACCTAAATTAAATTGTTTAATACACCACAATGAAGCAATTTATTGAACCCACGAGTCATGATTTAAAAGAGTTCTCATGTCAGAAGTCACAGAAACAGCAAAAAACTGCACAGACAATGAACAACACAGATGACAAAATTAACTTTAAATTTGAGATACTTTCTCTGACAGAAATAAAGAGAGCAAAAGGGAGGGACCATCAGCTTGGTATCAGGTTACATTTGGTATTGTAAAAGCTCCAGTCATTTATTGCACGCTGAACCCTGCACACTTCCTGTCAGGGTTATTATATAACTAAAACTAAAACTAAATTCATAAAACAATGTTACATAAAAATAAAATATAAACCTTAAACTTATTTTTATTTCAGCTAGTTTCCAAGATAACATTTCTCATTTTCCTTTTTACCTTTAGTTTAACTTGATGTACTAATAATAACTGAAAAAAAACAACAACAACAAAAAAACTATTTTGGCATATTTAAAAACAACAAAACTAACAAAAATGGCAAAAACACAACTAAATTACTATAAATAAAATTAACAAAAGCAGAAAATATAAAAAATAAAATCTAATTCGAAATATTAACAAAAGCAATACTAATATCAACAAAAGCAATACTAATATCTCAACGATAATAAATTAACACTGCTTCCTGTCTCACATCTCACGTGGCCTGTTCATCTC